TGCTGATGTCCTAGGATACCCAAGATGGTAATACATAAGCGTTTAGAGACACAGTCACTTAGCCAGGAAGATGCGACGTTTATGACACTGTATGGCACTGCTGCTCGTCTGGATAGCGATTCCAGAAGAATCAGTCTTACGTCTTCAGATGCTTGCTTCAATGCATTGACCAGAACCTGCTCTGGACACTCCATTTCTTGGGCTAAGCCGGAACTTTTCGTGAAATCGCATTCGAACAGCAGCCACTCTTCCAGTTGTTGTTCTAGCTTCGCCCGAAGTTCCGTGAAAGTCGACTTCTTCTTCTGCTCGACTTCGCTTAGGCAATGCATGACCAGTCGCTGATGTGTAGGGCCCAGGAGGTCGCGTGGCTCCTCCTCAATCGTCTGGAAGATGCCGAGTGCCTTCCCATCAGCGTCAAGTAAGCCGGCGACAAAGCGCCAGAAGATATCGTAACGAGGATCATACTTGTGCTTCTGAAGGAAAGTCGCAGGTTTAACCGGTTTAATACTGTTACAATCTCCATCGCTGAGTTGCAGACAGTTGAGCTGTTGTTCAGCTTCCCAGTGTCGTATAAAATACCGCGCTGCAAAATACTCTTGAAAGGTGAGGTGTAGGAAGTGGTAATTTCGATCGACGTCATTTGAGGAGGGATCCGACGATCGTAGAAAAGAAAGGTGTCCGAGAATCTCGTCAAAACACAGGTTCGTCCCAGTGGCGTTGAGCTGTTCGGATATAGCGTCGCGATGCCTTGGCTCAAAGTCTATGAGATCGTTATACATGCCGGTGAAGGCGAGAAGCTCAAGGATATGGACCTCATCCTTGACAAAACTTTTGATCTCGGGCCGGCGAGCAACGCGTATTTGACCTGCAGTCCGCTTCTCCAGCCTCACGATATCCTTCTTCCACAGACTTTCCTCGATGGCTCTGTAGATGGCTGTCATGGTCTGCGGGATAGGCTTATCGCCGAAGCTGCCCCAGGTGTAACAGAGCGCATCCAGCTGAACAGGGATCCGCACAAGTCCTTGGACTAGCTGGTGCTCTTGGAGGTACGACTGAATCTTGCCTGGCTTTTCTGGATCCGTTTCGCCCGTTTCTGGATCGGTAAAGGCCTTTTCCACATAGGCCCTCACTTGGTCGGGATAGAATCCGATAGTCTCTAACTCCAGTTGGATAGGATCCAGACCAAAAGGAAGCATTGCGTTTGGCCGAGACGTGATGATGACATTAGGCTGATTCAAGAGTTTCTTAAGAAAGCGGAGCATATCGCTGTCACCCAAATTTTGAGACACTTCGTCGAGGCCGTCGAGCAGAAACAAAGTTCTGGCACTTTTGGTGTCTTCTAACGTTTGGCATAATGCATCGGCAAGGACTTCGCCTTGAGTGTGGGAGAAGTACTCATGTCGGAACAGATCTGGCATGTCATATCCAGCGATGCGGCGTCGCTCGTCCCGCTTCAGATTCCGCAGGGGCACCCAAAGGACACGATCAAATAAGTCCCGCCACTCCTGCCACTGTTCGCCATGCGTGAATTCATAGACAATCTTCTTGCATAGAGTGGTCTTGCCTACTCCTGCTCGTCCACGAATCAGGATCCGACGCGGTAGTCGCTCCTCGCCGTCGCGCGCCTTGCGGGGATTAAATAGAGTCGGCAGTGTGACCTCGATAGTCTTGTCCGGTGTCTCAACCTTCAGTCTAGCGAGGAGTGAAAATGGAGAACCCTTTTGCGCTGTACCTTCGTCTGAGCGGCTAGTCTTGTCGCCGGGTTGCTCCACAATAGCAAGGTTAATGTAGCACCGATCCATCGGAAGCAGGTCGCCCGAGAGTCGTTCGATCTTGAGCTCTGCCAGGGAATAGCAGTTATTCCGGATCCAGAGGTCTGCTTTCTCAATAGGCTGGCCGTTACGAATGTCGCAAAGAAGAATGTCAATCACCCTAGTAACAGAAACGTATTCCGGATCGTTAGGACCATAAAACTTGTTCATGGTTACGTGGGGCCGATTAAGGGGTAATGGATGTGAGACCATGTCCAGGGTCGCAGAAGCACTATCAACCAGCTGGGGAGTGTTAGCTTCCACTAATAACAATGTTAAAGCACATGGAAGGCAATTCGTACCGGTTGCTCTTGAGACAAAGAGGCGGGGAGCCAGGGAGCTACTTTGCGTGGGAGACTTGACTTGCCGGTCTCGTAAAAGATAAATACATGTTCTGTAAGTTCGCTTTTTTGGCAGAGAGCAGTGAAGCTGCGGACAAGCTCTCCAAGGTCGAAAGTAGATTTCACGAGCTCAAGCAGGTTAGAGACGTTCTTGTCCCGGATCGAAGCCCAGAGCCTCAGACCGGGCTCAGCCCACGTAGCAACGTGTTGGAACGATGTACCCCGGAAGGGCGTGGCAAGGAAGACGATGCCGCGTGTCGCTTGCTTCACGGATTCATACTCGCGGCTAGCCATCACAAGCGCCTTTGCCAGGATGATGCCACCGAGGCATGACGCGACGAAGACAATTGGCCGGTCGCGTCTGGGTTGGTCGTTCGTCGCTGGAGGCCGGCTTTTAATTCCAGCGAGCAGCAGCCGAGCAAACTCGTCGATCATCTTTTGGACGAAACCTGGCTGCTCGAAGAGGTCAGCAGGCCAGTCGCAGGTGAAAATGCGGGCGGTCGGAAACCGCTTGGGCAGCATGCGCGGGTCTTCCAGCCAGTTGACGGAGATCCCTTTCGGATCCCATATCCAAGTGTCAGGCGACTGCGTGTCGAGGCCATGGATGGCGATAATGTCGACGTCAGTTGCGATCTTGTTCTCGGGAGAAGGGTAGACTTGGCGGAGATTGACACCCTTGCTTTTTGGGTGGATTTGTGTCGGATTGTCGGGTTCTGTCTGATCTTTTCGGCGTTGGTCGTGCTCAGGGTGAGAACTGGCTTCACGAAGAGGAACACCTCTTTCTCGAGTAGGACTTTCTTCGGGCTCTAGGGCGTCTTCGAGGGTATCTGTCTTATTCTTGTCGGGGTTGGCTTGATGGAGGCTGACGCCTTTTTGCGTGGGTCGTTTTGGATCCGAAGTTGGCGCCGCCGGAGACAACGGTGCGGGGTTTGGACGAGTGAACGCGGGATAGACCCAGAGCCAAACCGCAACCGCACCGATGGGGAGACAAAGGGCGGCTGTCCATCCGGCTAAAGAGATGCGCTGGCTGAGGTTGCCGGAAATCATGGCTACCGGCATAAGAGCTTGCATGGGCGAGACCGAGATTCATACAAGTTGTCAGGTCGCGCATGCTGCGCTTCGGCGAACAGTGCGAGGGCCCTCCCAGTAGCGGCCACGTCGTGCCCTTGGTGTCTGATGGTGGCAGGTGGAGAGTGAGTATTGATGCTTCTCGTGGACGATGGCAAACCGCGGTGCGCGGTGAAATGGATGATCAGGCTCAGCTACCCCGCCCAAAACGCCACAAAGCGTCCACATCCAATCATTTCCATCCGCGGCGCCAAGCAGCAAACGCCAGTCGTGACCAATGATGCCTCTCGCAAAGAGACGCGGCGCGTCCCGAGCAAGCGGTCATGACGTCCAACCAAACTGCAGACGGCCAACGGGCTGTGGGATTCGTGTCCCTAGACGCTCACAATTGTGTACAGACAAACGGCAGAGAAGTTGAAACGGAGGACGGTACAATTAGGATTACTCCATCTCCCAAGTTTGGCTGGCGGGTTTCACTAACGGCGTGCGCAGAGCGGCCTTTGTCTTTCCTCCGGCTCCCAAACGCAGGCAGACGTGCCGACCCATTCCGGCCCAGCCACCAGCTCCTGCCGTTCCCGCCCACTTCCCCCTGGCTCCGTTGAATGTCCAACTCTGACCGGTATGTGAGCAGTCCTACCAGCGTTCAAGCGTCCATGCCGTCTACTCGAAACAACGGTGTTTATAGACGTAGAGAAAGACGGCGCCACAGATGCCCTACCAGCTACCTATCACTACTACGAGGCCGCTGAAAAGCGGGTTGTCGGTAACCCAGCTGAACTTTCCCTCAGGTGCCTGGGCGATATGCTAAGGCATCTATGGTTTGCCGGCGCAAGGCGTCCCGCCATGCCGCTGCACATTCATGCCGCCATAGGCCGGGAGATCACTGTTGTCGACCGGATGGACCTGCACCTCTGGACAAGGGAGGGGAAGCTCCTCGTGAAGCCCATCCCTCGTTTCCTTGATCCGGCCGTTTCCAGAGAAACCTCCGGTGTCCCGACGACTGTACGTGCCGGAGACTTTTAGCAGATAGGTGCCGGCTGATCCCCGAAAGTCGCCCTAGCTTCCTCTGTACGTACGCCTATCTCATATTATCAGAGAGCGACTTCCACGTCACTAACGAAAAGCACCTTTTGGCTCGCAAGGAAGACGATACGCTAATGAAGTGGTCAGACTGGAAGACCTTAGCCGAGAAACTCCTGTGAATGCACGGGCGCGGCCCGGATGCGGTCCATCCGCACTTTCTGCGCACCGAGCTCCATCCTTCCGCATTAACATCATCCACTACTTCACCCGTCTCCCGCCCTTTGAGCCCTACCTCTGTGGTCGGCACAGCTACGGCAGCCTCTTCCGCGACAACCTCACCTCGATGGCTGCTGCGACTACTTCGCTGTGGTGCTGACCGCGATGTAGGTCAGCGTCACAACAGCGGCTCCAGGGAAACACCACCATCCAGCAGGCGCATACGGCTTCAACATCTTTACCATCCTAGGACTTATGTGTGCATTCAATCCGGTAGTCGTAGGTGCGCTGTTCAATCTCGTTAAGGATCCACCATTACTCCTCGGAGGATAGCGTACAGCACGATGCCTGACTACGCGAAGGTCTTGAGCTTGGGGACCGCTTGTGTTATGCCTGCGAGGAAAAACTTGGCGCTAAAGCTGTAAACAAGATAGCATAAAAAACGCGTTTCTCCGACCCAGACATTCCCCCAATTCTGTCCTATTAGTCTACAGAAGCCTAGACCTGTCTTGCCGTCGCCGAAAGAGCACAGTGTAAATCAAGTTGAAGAAGAAATATACCAATATGAGGAGTAGGACAAGCATCGCCACGCCAATAGGCGCGAGAATCGAAAACACGGCAAATCCGTAAGAGGCGTTGTGGAATACATCACTGTCGGCAAGTGCGTGTGTGGCCAGCCCGACTTGCATGGCGGTCAAGACCAGTGCAACGTAAACAGTAGCTCCCGCAACAGGTGCTATGTTTGCCTTGAACATCTCCCCGTAGGTTTGGTAAGGAAAATGATAGCCTTTCAAGTGACCGTGCGCCCAGAATATCTTGTTCAGCCGAGACAGCCTGAGCTCGCCATATGTGTAACGCTTATTAATCCCCGGATTCGTTTGGGCTAGAACCTTTGCCGCGATATCCACCCATTCGTCCCACTCCAGGTCGTCATCTATCAGGCCCGTATCCTGGGCGATGGCGAAATCGCTTGGATATTGAATTAGAGCGACATAGGACAGAAGCAAGCCAAAAGCAAGCTCATAGAGTTGCCGATCCTCAACGAGATGATCTTGCCAAAATTGTTCAACAAGAAGATACTGCGGCAGTGGCTTCAAAAACATGCGTCCTGGCGCCCAAACAAGGTGAAGGTTGGTATCCTCGCAAGCGGTAATCTCGCGGGACCTGGCTCGCTGGTAGTTGAGTGGTCGAGGGGGTATTGGCAACCCAGCGAGCTGAAGCCAACCATGGATTTTGTTGAGCTTCTCGACGCTTAGGTCGCCCTTGATGTGGGCCGTGCTGGCTGCGACAAGAACAGGCCCATGTTTGCCATTGATGCGATACGATGCCGGAAGGTATGGCATGGTCTGGCTTGGAGCGTGCGCCGCGACTTGGAGGGGGTTCGGTAATTGATGGCCAATTACCGCCGTGGGTTCAGCATCAGCCATAATAAAGCGATTCCCGACCTAGTCGCAATTCATGCGCGATGAATGAGTCGTGATAAAGGCCAAGATCGCTCAGCGAGGCTAGAACTGCCTGAGGTAAAATTGTGCGACGGAGGCTTCAACCCCGCATCCAACTGCGCCGCAGGGAAAGGCCAATGGTGTCGCCCATCTACGATCCACATGCACAGGTTCAAAAATGACCGGTCGATATGGGGCTCAGCACTAACCGCCACAGGAGACGCAAACCGCAAGCGGTCGCCTAAAGAGCCTTGAGGAACGAAGCTAAACGAAAGGACGAAGCTGAAGACAAGGAGGGGCCGTGCCGACGAGCGGCCCGCCAAAAGGAAGCCTGGAGGAACTGTGCTGGTGCTGTTCTGGGTGAGCAAGTGGATGTTGCAGATGCAGAAAGGGCGATAAAGAATGCTTAACGATACCAAAAAGTGCAACGACATCCTCAGCCAAGCCTACTCAGCGCTCTACGCCAAATATATCGCATTCAGCTACCACTACCACCAATACTTGAGCAGCAGCGGCGCCGCGGGTGGGCTGGATATGTTCGCCGAGGATGGGCTGGAGAACCGTGGAACTCTGATGACTAGAGAGCTGGGCGTGCCCCGCTGTAGATTAGCTGATTAGACATGTCGTACACACAGGAGGGACATTGTGCAGGTGCAGATGACGATTTATAGCATGCTACCCCAATAATGTACTATCTTGGTGACCTGATGTCACACCTGCTTCCACCATTGCATTCCCATGATACCCACATCATGCCACACCAACAGGGAGAGCCCCTCAGAAAACGGCGTTCAGAGCTTTGGTTCCAAGTCCTCGAACTCGCTAAGGTATACCAGAGGGCTGACAGCCTTGCTCGCCAAGAGAGCAGCCTTGTAGGACCGGACATCCTCGATGCGGACGGGCGTCGTTCCGTTTGACGAGGGCGGTTCCGCGTCCTTGACCACTTCACTCCCAGGGCCATGCTCTGGATGCAGCTTTCTCCACGCCTCGGCTGCCGCATCGATCTTACCCTCTGCTACATTCAGCTTGTGTAGCAGGTAATCCCTAAGGTCCGCCACCTCTTCCTCGACATCGTGGCCCGCCGCGCTAAGCCGGGCCTGCAGGTCGGTCGCCGCTTGGGCAGACGCAGCCGAGCCCAGCTCCAGCGTCTTGACCAGTTCCGATATCTGCTCTGTCGATATGTCGCCTTTTGGCCTGGGCCTCCAGGTAAACGGCTATCTTTGCTCGAGAGGGCGGGCACGGGTGGATGTAATGGTTGAAATATTCGATCATGTCCGCCTTGGTGAGCGGCTTGATTGCCGCTGCATCTCGCTGGGCTGTACAAAGGGGAAGTTGATTAGCGTCTTGAAACTCTCACCAGTACGCAGTACAGCGTCTACTTACCATTGTCAAAGGTATAGTGCTCGGTATGGATATGACTCCAGTGTCTGTTAGACTCCTGCTCCATATACTTCAGCCGCTCCAGACGTTTGTCAATGACGCTGCGTTTATTGCTTTCAAACTCAGCCTCGCTCATCTCCTCGAGCGTCGTGGCTACGGTCTTGAGGAACTCCTCAATCCGGGTCTCGAGATAGGGGGCCTTCTTCTCGCTCTGGATGACAAAGTAGAAACCGTATTGGGTGATGCTGGTCCAGGCCCCGGAATAGACAATGTAGCCAAGTTGTTCTTTGGTACGAAGCTGATTGAAGCACGGCTCGTCAACAATCTGGTCCAGGAGCAACGTCTTCGCCCTGACATTGTAATCTCCCCTGTCTCCTGCGTGCAAATAGTACTGAATGCAGTGGTTGACATTGGCAGGATCTTTGAGTGTCTTCTTCCAGACGTAGTTGGACCCAGGGGGGAGAAGCAGCCCACGACGGACCCTCCACTGCTGCTGCGGGAGCACCCGAGGTTTCAGTGTGGATTCAATCATATCCGTCAACTTGAGTGCGTCCTCCTTGTAGAGGTTTCCATGGATCAGGATTTCCATGTGCATCTGGGCCAGCAGCTCCTTTTGAAAAGCGCGCACCATATCGGCTGTGATGTGAGGTAACTCGGCCTCGAGCTCCTCGAGCACATAGCCGTGGTCGATCGTCAGCCAGGTCAGGTATTCGCCAATCTGGTTCACGGCGCAGACAGCTCCCAATTGCGGTATCCCCTGCTGACACGTTCCTTGATGATGGCGAATCGGTCGTCA